CCTTCCTTCCTTCCTTCCTTCCTTCCTTCCTTCCTTCCTTCCTTCCTACCTACCTACCTACCTACCTACCTACCTACCTACAATGCAACATCATTATGGTGTTACATGAATACTATGTGTCTGTTCAGGTTTCGTTCCTGTTTTGCTATTCATAGTAGTTATTTCCACATGGTGTAAATCCAAATGGTTGTTTTTCTTCTCTTTCATTTCTTACTAGAAGGTCCAGAAAGAAAAGGAGAGATAAAAGTCATCCATGTGCAAGTTTGTGTCTCTTATGTGGCAGTATGGCAGTAGATTCTAAGAGAAAATGGTTGATATATGCAGATGATGATAAATTTATATTGGGAAGGGAAACAGTACACAATTTCTTTTAATTAGTTAATTCAACTAAAGTGTGTGTGTGTATTGTTTTGATCTTGTATTATTTGTTGGTATACTTGCAGATAGATAGATAGATAGATAGATAGATAGATAGATAGATAGACAGACAGACAGACAGACACAGACACAGACACACACATATGTAGTAGCCAGACAAATATCTCCAAGATATGACATTCTGATGTTGACAAGGTGGGGAAGGTAGACACTGAAAAGGATTTGGACTGAATTTATGATTTTTTTCAGTTCCCCCTTTTTCAGGAGACAAGCATCATGTTATATTCAAGATTACCTTCCTTTCAAGCGAGTGCAGTAAGTAATATGTCAACATGTATCACCTTGTATCAGCTTTATTATCAGAATTCTGCTGTTATCAGAATTCTTCCAGAGTTGAAGGTGACATGCAAACAGAAAGCCTTTGTAATGTCATCAGCAAGGTGAAAAGTTACAGTAAATTAAGCCGGAAAATCTGTAAAGCAATCTGCTTGCTTGCAGACTGTGTCTAATAACGTTGGAACATTTTCTGAAAATAAAGAAGGGGAAAAAAATTTAAATTTTGCTGAGCTTTCGGAAGGTGATACAGTCTTGGAAAAAGTATGTGAAGCAACTGATATGTTCTCTGAGTCAGTCGGCCTATCTTGAAACACACAATCCTTTGGTTCACTCATGGTATCTATTGGACCTCTTCTTCAGATTGGTGAAAAATCTTTGGGCCAATTAAATTTAGTTTCCTTTATACATGATAGTCTTTGAAGGGAGCATTCATTTACAATTACTTTACTTAACAGTAAAGTTCTCTTGTAGCCGGGGATAGCTCTTTGATTGTTGAAGCCTCCTAGAAGCAAAGGGATATGTTTAGTGATGTCATTACGTCATCTAAGTGACACGGGGCAAAATCAGTTGGAAGGGAAGTTAGAAACTATTTACCTATAATATTGTCAGTCAGTCAGTAAGTTTATTGTTGTAACTACAGATACGTAGTGTGTCATAAAATACAATGAAATAACAGTTAAAGAATAAGATTGTAAAAAAAAGTAATATAAAGAATATTGACTGTAAAAGGGTTACAGCGAAACAAAGGCAAAGCTGTAATTAAAAATTAAATATTTCTAAGTTTAAATGGCAGCAGAGCAAAGGTAGCAGCTTGGTTGCTGACAGTTGGGACTACTTCTACAAGAAATAGTTCAATTTTTTTTTTTTAAGGTTACAGCCCTTGTGCTTTCACATTCATCAGTAATTTGGCCCTGATCTCATTCTACATGCAGAAATAGTCCCCCCCACCCTTTAAAAAATATATGAAGACTTGGCACTTAGCTCAGAGATTCAAAAACATCTTTTTATTGTTAAAATAGCCTACTGTATTCTGTTTTTTAATGATTAATTTTCCATCAATGATGTTCTGAACACTAACTGTACAACTTCAGTAACTTCCTTGTCATTTCACTGATATTTCATTACATCAATTATTTTTCATTTGCTTGGTTTTCGTTTTTAAAATAAACAATAATAAATAAATGAACAAATATAATAATAATGAATACTGGGAAGGGGAAATGAGAAAAACCTTCAGTTTCTGAACAATCTAAAGTATTATCCAAAGTATTGTCCCTAACCCCAACAAAGGAAACTGTCAGCCAGCAATATATTTTGATATTACTACAATGTTCACTTTTATTCTCTTAGTGGTTCTTTTGGTATTGATATAAAGATGTTCCTGTGTGTCATGGAGACTGGAGACTGGAGACTGACTCTGAGGCAGAGGAGGAAAGCTACAGGGAGTGGAAGTATGGCTCCAGAGGTTGTAGAGGAAGCTGGGGAAGGGCACAAGCCAGCTGGGCAGTCAGAGGAGGACCCAGGTCCATCCCCTCTCCATCCTTGGGCATGCAAGGAGGAGAGGATAAGGGAGAAACATGAATGGCGTGGTCTACGGGGGAGGAAAGGGCCTTGATCCTCTTCATAGGCTGCAGCTGTGAGAATTGGTTAAAAGGACGGTGCATGAGCCAGTGCTGGAAACAAAGCGTGAAAATATTTCTAGTTTGTCCGTTCTTACCTGAGTTTGGCATCCTTCCCAGTGAATATTCCATATCTGTGGACGTCTTCAACCCTTATCTTGCCTGGTTCCCTTAATTGCTTCAGTGTGGTTTGTGTTGTTTTTTCTATTTATAATTTATAGGCATTTTTAGTTTAAACGGCATTTCCTCCTTTTTGCAACTGTTTGTGGGGGAGTTTTTTGTCTCCAGTCAAGGATATTTGGAGCTTTGAAGCCAAGCTGAAGGAATTAAAGGGACTTCACCTATTTTTGTGCCTGTGTTGTTTTTATATCCCACCCTGGGTCATCACACTGTGATTCTAGTTTTTCATTTTGAAAAATGGTATTGGATAATGGTATTGGACATAAAGGAAGATTTCTCTATAGCTGGTCAAAGGTGCAGAATTTCCAGCTCCCAAATGTTTCTTATGCAGACGGTCTTTCCCCAGTATAGAAAGTTGTGTTCTAAAAGCAGGTGGCTTTTCAAGATTGAGTATTCATTTTAGTTCCCTTAATTTCTAAAAAGGTTTAAAAGTGGGTTGTTATCTGCTGCTGCCTTTAAAATAGCTTATTTTGAACGTCCATTTATTTTGTTTTATGCTTATTAGATATTAATTAATTAGATATTAATCAGAAATCAAACTGAAGTGGGGCATTCAGGCTGAAAGCCTATATAACTATCTGGAGAACTTTAATGCAATCACCATCTTCAGCGGAGAACTCAGTGGGATACTTCATAATGGTATGAAGTATTTATACTGATTAACCCTCCATTTTTTTTAGTAGGGGAAGGTGGCTTTGATGGCAATTTTTACTCTCTACCCATTATAGACCCCAAGATAAAAGTACTTACATAAATCTGC